ATGTAAAAACTAGCTATAACTTTGGCAACTAGGCATGACTTTTTTAAACGCTGAAAAATCATATTTCTTCCTATTACGTACAACGTTAAACTGTGTATTCTAAATATACACTCCGTAACACATCTCAATAGAAATATTTTTAGGTGCAAAACCCAAAAATGTTATTTTAATAATAAAATAAAGACTTGCGCCAACTTTCAGGCCAACGTGTGGAGCCGGGCGTTAGATAACCAACAATGTTGACACTTTAAAACCTAAACATAAATAAGGATAACTTCACAATATATTAGTATTAACAACAAATGAATAGATAATTAAAATAATGAGGCAGTTACAAGGGATAATCCGGTCGAGGTACCTTTGATCGTTTGATTCCGTGTAAGCACGAACAGCGGTTGTGGTTACATGACAGACGTATACTTACATTTGTACTGAGAACGTTCTATTACTGTGAAACTTGATTATGTGGTTATACTCTACAACTAAGGTAGTTATTGTTTATCGTCATCTATTTCACTATCGATGAAATTAACAAGGTTATTCAAATGGTCTTTCTATTTGGTTGGAGACTATTGTACTTATAACTTAGTATTATAAGGTTTTGCTTATTAGCTTAGTTGAAGTCGAATATTTAGTCTGAAACTTAATAAAAAAATATTTATTCTTGTAGTGAAGAACTGTCTTATTAATTCACCGTAAAAGCTTCTTTAGATCTCTCTAATGATTCTTACAACGACTACGAATTAGAGTACAATTAGAATTTATTAAAGCCCTAATATTAAACTTAATCCATCATCAAAAGTAAAATCACTTAATTTTAAGTAGCGGCCTTATTTGCTCATAAAATATGAAACAACGTTAAATAAAAGTGAAAACAATGCATGAATGCCAAGTGTCAACGGAATGTCGGCGGTGTCCCGAGGTGAAAGCGTTGCCTCTCGTAATTTCCCAGCCATTTTATGTTTAATTCATTATTAATTTGTGGTCTCCTTGCTTTTTCAAAGGCGTGTGTCGAAACACATCAGTAGAAGTCCACTTTAGAATTACCAACATTTTGTTTTTGTCTTTTTTTTCGTCCGCAGCCCCGTGAGTGACCCCAAAAGGTCTCTTACATAACATAAAAAGCAATTATTTTTAATGTTTTACTTGAGCGTGAAATAATTATTTGTTGAGTGGTCGTATAAATTGCTGTGTAAAAAATAAAATGGTAAATTGTTAAGAGGCTCGTTATTAGTATTTAGGTAATTATAGTAATTACGGGTATAACCCCTCGGTTGGCGGGTTCGTCGCTCCCCAGGGGCTTAGAAAATGTGCTGGCATTTTTTTCCACTTAATTGGATATCTATTGAAAGTCAGATACTTTTTACAATGTAATAAAACTGTTCTGAATCTTCGGAAAATTGAACTGGAAGAAATTGTATGATTTATATGTTCTGAAATAAAATGCTAAGATTAGACAGTGAAATGATAGCGCGACCCAGTTTAGAACTGAGAATAGAACCACTATTGTTGATTAGTTAGACTTCGCTTTAGCCTTCTGAATCGTATGATATTTTCAACTTGAATGTATTTTTAAATCGCTGTATTATTAAAGATAAATCTGTCATCTATATACACAGTACCTATTTGTGCAGATTTGGGACGTAAGTTTACCTAAGTTTTATATGTAGAGTAGAGAGAGATCGAGTCTTAAGAGGACATAAAAAGTAAAATTTGAACCATTCTAAACAACTAAAATTTAAAGTTTTGTTTTGAGTAAAAGGAAAATTAGGTACTAAAACTTGTTTCTTACTAATATTGAGTTTATGTTTGGTGAATGGAAAATTTTACTAGTTTACTGAAGTCTTCTGGTAGTCAACTAAAATGGTATTGACTTACGTTTCTTAACGTACTGATTCCCTAACGAATTAAAATTAATGCTAAGATTAATTAAAGCTTTATAAATTAAAACATGATATACTCTGAATAAATAAGTCAACAAAAACAGTTTTTATATCTCGTATTTTAAATTGGTTTAACATTGTAAGTACCAAAAATAATTATGACTTGGTTACAAACTATAAGTAGGTATAATATGACATTTTGTGTACAATATTATACAGCTGATAATTATTTTCTTTGAGAGACGGAAAACAAAGCGAGAGGCATCCGAAATCATGGCGTCGCACGACCGGCCTTGACATAAAAGTCCTCGAATTGTCCTAGCAGAGAGATTCACACAATACAAATTGCAGTAGCCACGAGAAAATAGTATCCTGTTCGGGGGTAAATTATAAGGAAGAAAGCTTTATACGATATTGCTGCAGGCTATAAACTATGATTGTCTTCTGTAACATTTCTTAAACGCAATTTCCTTAAAACGTTGTTGCAAGCAAGAAGTTGAGCACTCCATAACATTTTTATACCACATGTCTATAGGTACACCGGCGGGAAAACGCTTTGACTCTTTATAGAGCCCTCAAAACCCCTTGGCTTCTACCCTCTTATCAAATGCTTTTTGCCTTAGCCTCCCTGATTGAGACGAGAGTAAGTGTTCCCAATCGCGTGATAATGAGTTTTTTGGGTAAAATCGCGCTAATATTTTAAGCTGGTGTGAATACAATGTCATCACGGCTTCGTAAAAAGGAAAGAGGATTATGTCAAACATTTTTCTTTTGTTATCACTATAAATATATAGGTGCCGGTATCGGTGTCTATTATAAATAACTGGTTGTAAGAAGGAGTATTCTCTGAAGTTTCTAAATAGCTGAAATAACACGGATTGAATAAAAAGCCGGACCCGCTCTTCGTCTTATAACGCCTGTTTTTCCTTATTGCGCACAAAGTGTTGAAATATTGCAATTTTTATTAAAATATTGTAAGCGACGCTATTGTTACTTTAGTCGTTTCCTGTTCCAGCGCACGGGTGCTATAACAGGCTCCAAACACGGAATAAAATTTAAATAATGAACTCCAAATTATTTGTTGAGCTCCGCGTATTTCTATGGACATTGCCGATAAATATCAGAAAACGACATTTAATTATGTCGTTTTTATGTATAATACATAGATAAGTTCCCTTGTAAAATGTTGGTGTAAATTCAATATTGCGTGCTGTTTTCCGATAACAGTTTGAAAGGGGTATTGTGAGCGCTGTTGCAGGACATTTGTTTATTTTAAATACAGAGGTGGAGCAGCCATGTTTTAAAATGAACTGCAAACTACAATTTAAAAGCTCATAAAATCTTAGCACGCCCGTACGATTTCAAAAAGAATGTTCTCATCAAACGTTCAACCATATTGAAGTCGTCCATTTACCCGTTTGTTTACACACAATAATGTATCAAACGACGTGAAAACTTTTCTCTAGCGAGGGAAAGACCGCAGTTATGAATCTAAGATGTTTTTCATGTAATTTTGATTTATGCTCCGAAGGCGTTGGATCCGAAGGATACGGCGAATCCAACGACCCTCTTTACTTTCTACAAAAACTCAAGATTATGACTGACGTGTGTAACTTATCTTCGAATATTGTGTGAATATTGATGTTTAGTCGTGTCAAACCTGTTCATTGTCTACAGTCTTTTACAGTATTTTAATATGATGCAAAATTTGATTGAAATGGTTTATGAATATAAATTTTCTTTAATGTGGGAATTACTGATAATAATTTAAGACAAAAAGGCTTTCAATCAAGGTTTTGAATATCAGAACATTGATCACATTAAAGAAAACTAACTTTATTGGATTCCTTCCTAATTAATTACCTGCGGTCCTTTTGAACAGCGTTGAGTTGAGAACCGACTTTCTCGTTGAGAATTATTCGGGTATAACCGTCTCTCAAAGAAATGTATCTCTGTTTATAACGATTAAAAAAGATACGTGGGCGTGTTTATTATTATTACAAAGTACTTTACGTTGGCACGCCGCGCCGCACCGTGGCGAAAGCACGCGGCTACGTCTCATAATTTATGTGGCGAATTACACGTTTATCATAACGCTTCGTAATACCATCGCCCCGAACAATTCTCGTAAATATCATATTTATATCGCTCCATGGAAATTCTGATCGCTAGTAATTAAAGTTTAGCCAATATCATCGTAAATTAAGATGTTTATAGGGATTACATCTGTGCTGTTTATTACGTACTTAAATATCAAAATAATAATTACCAACATTTGAATTCACGCATAGAATTCCCAAATAAATTATCGATTGTAAACTTGATCTTAGCCTTGTCCTACATAGCGGAGTTTGTTGCAGTCACAGTGAAGTAAGTATGGGGCAAACTTTACAGAATGTTGTGAGTTGGAGGCTGGTGCATTAAGTGAGGCCGCATTATCCGAAGTAGTTTGTTACTTAAGTGGTAAAAGGTTTGTGTTGTAAGCGTTGGGAACACCGGTCAGATGAATGCGATGCGCTATCGACTCGCGTATTTATACTCGTAGAGGGAGGCTGCGGGATGCGGACACAGATCAGACAGGCACGCGACTGTCGCGCGCCCCCCGGGACTCACTCGCCGTCCTTAACTCTGTTGTTCAAAAGCTTTTTGATGTAAACTTTAAATAGCATAGATAACAAATGAGAGAGGCCAGTATATTCACAATTTAATACTTACTATAATCTTATATCCATCAAAGATGGTTAATGTAAGTTAGATACTGAACTGTTAAATATTAATTATTTTCTTCAAGGTGTGCAAAACTTTCAATAACCATTGTAAAATTGTGAAATTTCAGAATACTAGTCTCCACAATTAAGCATTTGAATGGATTTTAATTTTAAAAATTAATAGTTAGAATTTTAAGTTAGTATTCAATATTCAATAACTTAAAAGTTCCTATTTTATTAAGCCTCAAATAACAATAATAATTGAGCATTATTAACAAAAAATAAATGTCACTACTATATTGGATGAATATGAAAGCAATGTCAGTTCTGTTGTATTTTGTATGCTGAGGCAGCTAGGGGGCGCGCGGGGGAAACTCGGGGCGCGCAGGGCGGCAGTCAGCGACGCGCCGCGCCCGGGCCACCCGCCCCTGTACCCGAGTTTTACGTAACGATGCCCGCGCCGAGCTGATGGCCGCGATCGTGTGGTGGCTGGCGGCCACCTGCCTGCTCCGCGCCGCCACCGCCGGCAACCCCGACGCCAAGCGACTCTACGATGACCTCCTCTCCAACTACAACAAGCTCGTGCGACCCGTCGTCAACACCACCGACGTGCTGCGAGTCTGCATCAAACTCAAACTCAGTCAACTCATCGACGTCGTAAGTGTTATATTGGTCTTCTGCAGACGCTTCTCCACTGACGGCCCCGTGCAAGCAGTTAGCCAGATAAATGCCTTTGACATGCATAGCCACCAGACTGACCTACATCGAAGAGAGCCGAGGGTGCAGTGTGGACGCATACCTTACTTGCACTTGCGCGCCGCATTTGGAATTTAAATAGATGTGAATTGAATCAGCGCCTAAGAAAGCGACCCAGTTTTTCCAGATCCATAGCTCACTTAAAATCGTTAGGAAGTGGTGATAATGGGTATATAATGTAGCAAGTGTCATATACACACCTTCTCCCCAGTCCGCTACCTTGGCCAGGCGCCCCTCTGTCTCCCTTCTTATGTATTTCAAATCAGATCCCATAAATCACTCGTATAAAAGGAATTGTATTTCTATCGATATTTATTCAATCCTCCTTTGTGGCTATAATCCTCAGGAGTTTTTATCGTGGAAGGTAATTACGTGCGTTTGGCTGGTTCTGTGCGTTATGTACCGTGTGTTAAATTACAAGTAAGCTCTTACAGATATTAGAAGTCATTTAAGCTACAACTGTAATCTTAAAGCACCTAATAAACTCTCGCATAAAGTTTAATTAAACGTGAACATGAATTAACGTTTCATTCCATGTAAGTGAAAAAGGTTTTTGTAAGAAAAAGTTGATGTTATCAATGAAGTATCTAATCAATCATGTAAAGTGCTGGGTCGTTAAACTATATATGTACATACATACATTTATGGCGCTCGCTCTTATGTCACGCTGTTCACTCTTATGAGAGCTTCAATTTAACTGATAGCGCTCACATGTATTGACAGATTAAAGTCTCAGACTGCTTGGCGTTGTACGAAATGAGATGTGACTACACATTTAAATTAAATTGTGTCCCAGACCATATAGGTCATTGACACAATCACGTCTTCTAGATTGGTTGACTTTTCACACAATTTTCTGTACGACCAATTGAGATTTCTATTTGCCAAATACTAACATTGGTTCTCGCAAATATTTAACGCAATACATCAATAATGACAGAACGTTACACGTGTAGCATTTCTATAAATAAACATTGATGAGTATCAATCAATACATTGTTATTACATTTCTATTTGGAGATAAAAGAAACAAACATTTCTCCAGTGGCTTCTTTTCTTCATTTTCTGAAGATCGAAGACCGAAGACTTAAGCACGTCCCTGTTTCATAATATAAATGATTGTTAAGTATTTTGTTCGTAAAATCAATCATAATCAATCATCGCGGAAGCTCAACTTGAACGCGAACGAACGAGATGTTTTGAAAGCACCGGAAATTAGCAAACTGTACGACTGTGCCAGCGAGTGCCTACCACATTTGGCCCAATAACCACATACTCGATATCAACCGTAACAGGAGCGAATGGACCGCTATTATTACGAATACGTCGACCAAGATTATCGAATTCTGGACGCAGATGCCGACGCTGTGGTTTGCATCATTTGCACCAATCACGGATTAGGACGGTACGAGATTGAAAACAATGGCAGCGGAAATATTTAAAACTGCTTCGTTAGACAAGTATGATAGATTGAGTAGGAAAACGAAGAATGGGACAATTGCATTCAACATTGTTCCTTATTACTTACTCCTAAAGAGGCTTAAGTAGCTACAAAACTAGATTGAATTCAAGTCTCACTGGAACTAAGCAAGACACAGTGTATTTTTATTGTGCGTCCTACATAGGAAAATAGCATGCTAGTTTCAGAGATGTAATATTATAGTGATTCAAAACTGACTCAAGGCAAGATACTATTATTCAAGTCAGCTAGAGTCAGTTCGAAATGATACACTACGCCTTTTGGCTGAGATTTATCTTTGAAAAATCTCGCTCTTTTCTTTTTGATAGTCTGTAGCTAGCGCGTTCTGTATCTGTTTGTTGTTACATGTAGGTATGTTAAATCACCAGGTTGTGTAAGTGACTGTTTATGCATAACCATTTGTCACATTCGTCACAATAGAAACATATTGTAGTTAACGTGTAAGTTCCATATAACTATAACAAACTGTAAACAGTTTATTACACAAATCTAAAGATTTGTGTAATATTACACAAATAATAAAAAAATAATATATTACACAAATCTAAAGATTTGTGTAATATTCCTTATCGTCAGGATAAGTTTATATAAAAGAGAGTTTTGGTAAATTCAAACCCAAAAATAACATCCGTCGTGTAAGTAAAGTACCTAGAGCGACAGTTTTCACTAAAATTTAAGATAATGTAGAAATTGTATTACACAAAATCTTTTATGATGAAATAAGCCATGAGAAACAGTCATTGTTAAGTGGACCGTAATTGACAGTTTTGTATAAATTAATTCATTTATTTTCCAATCCTGAGCGATTTTATTATAGACGGAGAGTTTATTGTTAGGCCGTTGGCCGTTGGCTTGTAACAAGTGATTACTGTTTCTGAATATGAATTATTCATAAATGGTGATTATCAACAGTAATTCTTGAGGCGTTATATAGATTATGAAACAAAGCTTACTTCTGAATAAATAATTATCGATTGTACGAGATGGGTACGGTTGTGTCGTCATGAAAAGTACTGACATGGAACCGAATCAGATTGTCTCGATACTGGTCTTAACTTAGTTGGGCCAAAGAAAGAATAAGATAAAAGCGAAACGTCTCAATATTTCCGAAGTTACTTACTTCGCTTTACTCCTAGCTAGAGGTTTAAAACAGTACATTTTCAGAATATTTATGCTTCAAAAAGTTCCTATGAATTTACTAACATGTTATTATAGTTATTAAACTTATCCGGTCTTAATCCATGGACTGACGGTACGCCTTTAATCTAAACCCATTGAACCGTTACAGCTTATAAACAACCCGTATTAATAGACTATTTAATCAGTAGGATACATGTACAGGTGCCTATTAACAGTTGTTAATTAAATAATCAGGAATATACTGATGGTTTACTAATTAAATATTCGCAATTCCAGCATGGCCGTATATTTGCCATTCGGTTATTGCTTTACGTTTCATGGCTTGCACGAAGAGTTCCCGAATTGTGGTCGAGCATCCAGCCACATGTTGATGCCGGCTGGGACACGATATAATATTTTGTAAAGCGTAAATTGCAACAATTACTTTGTGTTACCACAGAAAATTATATTGCAATATTTGTATTATGCGCTCATCTGTATTATTTTAGATAATGACGCGTTGGATTATATCAATAATATATTGTTCACTTCTACTTATATTTTCGCACAATGAAAGGTATAAAAAAAGAATAATTAATAATTTTGAATCTTAAAATCTCATACTCATCTCAAATATGATACATACATTTGTATGATGATACACCTACTGAAAGCATGCACTGGAAACCTGTTCAAGCTATAGTCGCCTTCTGATTGTATACAGGAGGACAGGATTTGTCGTCCAATCAATCATGCTGATGAGCCTAAACAGTACCTGAATACTGAATGTCTGTTGAATAGTATCACCCTTGATTGATACGTAACACATAACATTGGACATCGTCTTCACAAATCATAGGCACAAAGCTATGATGCTAACTACAGTAGTAGTAGAATACTAGTGCTTAATGATATAGTGTTTCTATTATTTATTTATTTATTTTATTTATTTATTAAATGGTGAATCAACAGCTACATTGCACGCGAATTTCAAAAGCCACCTGGGGTCTCTCTTTTCTTACGCTCAGGATCATATACGGAGCAACCTACCTGGGATGCGTGTGCTACGGGGCACCTGTCTGGGCTGATAGGGCCACAATAGGCGCGGTACGGCGAAAACTTCTTCAAGGCCAGCGTCTAGCCTTGATTTTCCTGTGTAAGGCTTATAGGACGGTTAGCACTGAAGCCCTACCTGTGCTCGCGGGCGT